AGAGACAACTGCAGCAGAGGCTCAATACAGCGGCAAGGCTAGTTACTCACTGAGGTTATCCAGTATCAGTGAGGCTCCGTTCGCGGTAGCATAGTATTACCCCTCTGCTATTAACTAATCCACTAGGCGCGGTTTGTGTAACACCGTTGAATTAAGAGGTTTGGTTTTATTGAGGATTGGATTGGATTTAAATGGTGAGTTTGAATTACCGCCCCTTAAATAAGCAGCTATTATTAAAATGTCGCCAAAATTGGATAATTTAACAAAGTTTCTAATACTTCTAATTCGAGATCTGAAATGGAGTGCTTAATAGTTTCTTTACAAATATGGTCACACCGCCGTGTTCCTTTTTTCGCATCGAGTCTGCGAACAAAATAGGAAACGTCAGAAACAGTTTTCTCCGCATCTATTGCTTTAAAAATGTCAAAAAATTCATAAGATTTATTTTGAAAGCTTTCAGCATCATAATTGAGTATTTTAACATTACTGGCATACATAATTATAAAAATATTTTGCACAAATTTCAGCTGCAGCCGTCATGTAATCTTTTTTAATTTGACATAATTTTAATTTTTGCATAATTTTTCCATTAATTGTAACTATTTTAGAGGCTGTCAGTAGTTCATTTTTATTGAGATGTGCGTAGCTTCCTACTTTATGATTGATTGAGTTATTAACCCGTGGAACGTATGGTTTTACGTGTGAACTGTACGTTATACTATCGTTATAATACGCTATAGGGGTGATATTAGTGTTGTTGCTATAAGGAATTTCATGACGTTTGTTTGCTAAAGTTGGCATTAAATTTGTAAGGTGCTTGAAATTTACGTGAGATGTTCGATAATTTCTTGAAGTACTGATGCGATTTTTGGGGGCTGATTGTAGGTGTAAATGTTCTGTTCTTTTGACACCGCTTGAACTGGCTTGATGTTTATCTCCACAGGGAACGTAAGAAGTCAAGCGGTTTTCAATACGATCCTTCTGCTTTTCTGGGAAAACTTTGGAGTTATGCTCCTCACCACAAGTTCTACAACAATATCCTAGATAGCAATGAATGGCACCGTGACCAAATGTTTGACAACGATAGCACTGAGTTAAAATTTTTACTTTTCTTTATGGTGTGATATTAATCCCAAGAAACACTTGTGTCACAAATAGAGTTGCACTTTGATCGCAAGTCATTTATTTTTACGCTACTCTTCTTGAAATAAACTAAATATGTTGTCTGATTCAAATATCTAGGAATATGTGTTAACACATTGGAAACTTTACTGTATTCAAACCCAGAACCAATCAAAAAATTTTTAAGTTCCTCTTCTTCGATCTTGTGTAAGTCCTTTGAAACCATTTTGGTTGGTAATTTATTTTTTATGTAAATCCTAAATAAAATTTTTATGTAAATCCTTTATAATCCTTTATTTTTGTACAAATACTGGTATTTTGTTCGATTAATTTGTACCCGCCATCATGGTCATTTATTTGACTAAGTGGAGCAATATGATTTTGATTTTTTAAAATTATTTTCGCTATTTCAATTTTGTATTATTACAGGCTACAGCGCTGGCCCATACCAATATGATTTGGCAAATTGTTTTTGTTTTTTTTTTAATCAAAAAGAAATCATCATCAGTGAGTGATTTCAATTATCATCACTTGGTGAGTGATATTCCTCTTGATTGCTAAAATATTAAATTTTAATAAGTGAAGGTAAAATATTCAAAAAAAAGTATTTCCTATATTTTTGTTGTATATTTAAATAGCTGAATATGGAAAACTAATATTTTATCATAAAGTTAATAACAAAATAAGCGACTGCACCACACGATATTCGCACACGACTGTGATAAAAAACATAAATTTTTTTTTGCAGACTGTGAAAAATAAAAAAAATCATAAATTTTTTTCTTTTCTGGCATATAATTGTGGAAAAGATACTGTACATTTTGTGCAAAGTCAGTTGAGCATTTTAAAACAATGTTTAAGATTCTTATTATATTGCTGCTCGAATTCCTTGTAGCAGCCATGGCATAAATTTTAATGATTTCGTTATAACGATTTAAGCCGATTGTAACCATAAAGCAGTTTTCAGCGCTTATTTGCTTCAAAGATAGTCTCGGCACCTCAAAACCAAAAAATCTCAGCGCAAAAACTATAATCAATTAAACATTGATAATGATTTTTCTATTTTTTTTTTGTCGTAATATAAAAAATTTTATAAGTCATTAAACATTTTTATAAAATTATTGAGTAAAGTATTATGCAACATCATTATATAAAAGATTTGTTTTAACTTAGTTCACATTAGAGATGGAGAGCTATTGGTGGACCTCATCAAAACTATCGATGGTTTTAAAGGCGATATAATACAATCGTTAAATTAATATTAATTCTCGGCAATTAATAAATTTTGAAAAATGGTCAAGGACGGAATGTCGTTCTGAATTTAATGAATTCCATAACATTATTTTCATACGTAAACACATTATGTATATATTTTTTATGTATTGTTACTACTTGTGTACAAAAATGTTCTTATGAAATTCGTAAAATTCAGTAGAATAATTATACTTCAATAACACTAAATACCTAGTTTATTTATTATTTTATCTATTATTTAAGAACAGTATCACATATAACGATTTCGGGAACCTCGATAGTTTCGATATTTGAAAACTAGTGTTAGTATCGATAATGTCGTCGATGGTACCGATGGTGTCATCAATAGTTCTTCATTTCTACACGGAATATATAAATCAGCGTTCATCAGCAAATTTTAAGAGAGAAAATGAAAACAAAAATATTTTGTATTTTTTTCTCTCTTACAATTATATTTTGTATTAAGTGGCCCCTTAAAAGTTCCCGTGGTCTCCCGTTTTCATTTATCAACTTAAACACCTTTTTATACCCTGCACTTCGTGAAGGGTATATTAACTTTGGTATGGAGTTTGTAACTACTTGAAGGAGTCATCTGCGGTATGGACATATATATATATTCTTGCTCAGCGTAAAATTCTGCGTTGATTTAGACATGTCCGTCCGTCCGTCCGCCCGTCCATCCGTCCGATCGCACGATAACTCAAAAACGAATAATGCAATCGACACCAAACTTTCACAAGTTGCTTCTTTTCTGCCAAGGACGAACCCTATTGTTATTGGACCAATTCGGACAACGGGTTCGGGTAGCTGCCATACAACTCAAAGAGTTTATTTTAATTATTTCAAAAATTAATAAAGGTACAAATATAAAATTTTGTATACATGTGTCCAATTATATTCTACATATGCTCTAAAAATTTTAATGAGATAGCTGCACCGGTTCGGGTGGCTGCCATACAATTCCAAAAGCAAATTTTTTATATTCGGCAAAATAATAAAGTCAGATTCATGAAACTTGGCAGTTGTGTGTCCAATTATAGGTCAAAGATATTTCTGAAGTTTTGGTGGAATTGCTTGACAGGTTCGAGTAGCTCCCATACAAGTCCAAAAGCTTACTTTAAGTATTTGAAAAAATAAAAAAGTTAAATTCGTGAAATTTGGCAGTTGTGTGTCCAATTATAGATCAGATATATTAGCGAAGTTTTAGTGGAATTGCTTGGCAGGTTCGGGTACCTGCCATACAACTCCAAAAGCTAATTTTAAATGATTGAAAAAGTAATAAAGTCAAATTCATGAAACTTGGCAGTTGTGTGTCCAATTATAGATCAGATATATTTGCGAAGTTTTAGTGAAATTGCTTGGCAGGTTCGGGTACCTCCCATACAACTCCAAAAGCTAATTTTAAATATTTGAAAAAATAATAAAGTCAAATTCACGAAACTTGGCAGTTGTGTGTCCAATTATAGATCAGATATATTTGCGAAGTTTTAGTGAAATTGCTTGGCAGGTTCGGGTACCTGCCATACAACTCCAAAAGCTAATTTTAAATATTTGGAAAAATAATAAAGACAGATTCATGAAACTTGGCAGTTGTGTGTCCAATTATAGGTCAAAGATATTTCTGAAGTTTTGGTGGAATTGCTTGACATGTTCGAGTGGCTCCCATACAAGTCCAAAAGCTTATTTTAAATATTTGGAAAAGTAATAAAGTTAGATTCATGAAACTTGGCAGTTGTGTGTCCAATTATAGATCAGATATATTAGCGAAGTTTTAGTGGAATTGCTTGGCAGGTTCGGGTACCTGCCATACAACTCCAAAAGCTAATTTTAAATATTTGGAAAAATAATTAAGTCAGATTCATGAAACTTGGTAGTTGTGTGTTCAGTTATAGGTCTGACATATCCGTGAAGTTTCTATAGAATGGTTTCACAGGTTTGAGTAATTGCTATACAACAATGAAAGGTGCAGGGTATAATTCAATCGGTTTATACCGACTGAAACGTTTTTACTTGTTTTTGTTTAAAACCAACAAATTTGTAAGTTTGGTTAAATTATTTATTCTTCCACCAATTTTTTTGAATTCTACAGAAAAAATCAAAAATATTTTATAATGCATTTGTTCTTATGTTTCTTCATGAATAGAATTTTCAATGTGCGCCATCTGACATGCATAAATGCACTGTGTATCATGCAAGTTAGGCGTATAACGTTAACTATGCTAGTATGATTGTTTATTAATTTTTTCTTTAATACGAAAATTGTTCTATTAGAACGTTTCCATTATTTTGAGTTAAAGCTTTTTAGAAAAAGACAATTTCTTGAATTAAATGTTAAAAAAACGTACGCTATTTTGCGAATGAGCTTGATTCGAAAATTTTTCTTTTTGAAATCAGAAAATAACTCAAGGCACTTTGAGACTTCGGTATATTTTTCGTATTTTTCCGACAAATTTGGAAAAAAGTGTTTATTGCTATTTGCTTTCTTATATAGTTTATACATAAAATGTTATTGTTATACACTATTGAATATTTTTTTTAATTTAGATTTAAAAAACATCACAAATTCTTGACAGTTGAATGAGTAATATTGCATAAAATATTTTTAATTTGCTTTTTAATTCCAGATGAAAAAGTTTAATGTGTCAAGAAAGCCGTATATGAAGCACGAAACTACACTTAAAAACCATGAACCACATTCATTAAGTATCGATCAAAGAGATATTTGCCGTACTATGTGTTTTAAATTGTAATGTTAAAATGTAATAAATTTTATGATTTTCTAATATGCACATTTTATTTAAAATAATTTAAAAAACAATTTTATATGGATATGTGTCAATTTGATATAACAAAAATTTTCTAAAATTTAGAGGAAGAATTTGTTTTTGTTTGTTGTTATATTTATGTTTATTTGTTTGTTATAATATATATAAAAATCGTGTTTATTCGATAAAGTACAGGTCGTTCTTGGCAAACGCGCATATTTGTTGGACACGTACATTTTATCTATAAAAAACTAAGCACTAAAAATTTTTTGAATTTGATTTATTTTTGAGACCTGTTAAGTTTCTATACAGATATTTTTGTAATCTATTGTAAATAAAAAAAATTGAGTATTGGGACTTGTTAGATGTAAAGACATTACTTTATCATTAAACTGAAATTTTTAAAAGTTGCTATTTAGTAGAGAGGATCATAATTTCAACTAAACTTTACCAAAATTTAAGAGCCTATTTGAATTTGCTGTTAATTGTTATGTTTTATTCTGTCTCTAAGTTGATTATTTTAGAGATGAATTTTCTGTGGAAATAAAAATTATTAAAATTTGCATAAAATAAATAGAATTTTACAAATTTTTAGAATTTGAGTAGTTAGTGCAATTTTGATTTTTAAATAAGTAGTAGTGTCAGAGTGAGCTTTCCTTCATTTGAAGGAAAGCTCGCTCATATGCTAAGGGATTTCATTTTTTAATTTAAAGTAATATTTTTATTTCGTGATAAATATTTTTATTCCATGTTAAGTATTTTCGGATTAATTAAAAAAACCAAAAATGTTATTACCGTTTAATCATTCGCACGAACTTTTTTGTAATTAATAGGTCTATATAAAGATATTATTTATTTACTCTTTCTCGAGTAAATGACCACCGGAATCCTATTTAAGCTGGATGAAATTAAAACGGTGGTTAGAGTAGGTGCTCAAAACTTCAATTTTCATGAATTTCAATTTCATGAAATAAAAGTCATTGAAATTTCTTAATTCCTTGTGGAATAAGAAATTCAACTTTAGTAGTTGTTTGACCATATCTTAGAAACTTTTACACTTGCAGAACTAAATTTTGCGTAAATTAATATAGTAAAACGGCAACTAATATTTCCATGCGAACGTATGTTCGAAGGATATTATAAATTCGCCATATCCGTTTGAAACGTTGAAAAGCTGGAATCATATATATTCTTACTCATGTATTCTTACTCATTGTGGAATATGTAATTTTTGTCATTTCTTACAAGACAAATCCCACGTGATTAAAGCCATTATTTGTCCCATAATTGGCTATAGAATATTTGTGATCTCATAGGATAATAAACTCGCATGCATATCAAAAATCAACACTCTTTAATTTTTTCAATCTGATTTTCTATAGCTCCCCAAAACTACCATTAGAGGTCTGAATCCCGCCTACTTTCTCAGGCGAAGTGACATTATTTTTCAGGTTTTAGACTATTATAACCTACAGTCTAGAAGAAAAACCAAATTAAAAATTTGCGAAAAAGGTTTCAAAAAATGTTTAATTTGAACGGCCTTTTTTCCACGGAAAATTTTCTAGTGAAGAGTTAATTGTATGTAAAATTTGAGCTGTCTATTTTACAGAATATAGATGCTTTGCACGGACGGACCTATAAATTGATAATAATAAAAACATTGAATTGAGTTTGCGTTTCGCGTGGAGATCTTACCATTCGCGTGGATACAATTTTTTCGAAATGTTTTAATAATCTCTTAAAATGTTTCTTTTTATGTGTTTTTAATATATTATAAAAAGACACCATTTATTAATATTAGAACGAACAAGTCAAAGTTTTGCTTGAAAAATTTCTGACTTACTTTTTGAGAGTTCTCCAAAAATGACCCATATATACTTAGCACTTTTCCAAAATATGTTTAAGAAAATTTAAAGAATTTGTATTTAGTATAGGTGAAAAAGCAGTGTCGGTTTCGTGATCTGCGCCAGTTAGAAACAAGTTGAAGTTAATTGAACCTAAAGAATTACGGCGAATCCGTTCCTTCTTTTGAATTCTTTTTTTGCAATGAAATTATTGCGCGTTCAATATATTACATACATATTGCATCACATATACATTGCGCTTTGAACTTTAAAAGGAGATTATGGACTTAATTTTTTTTTTGGAAATATTTAATACATTCTTTGGTGGGGGTTTTATAAATAAAACAGTTAGACTTTTCAAATAAATTTTTTGGCGATAGCTTTTTTTCAGTAAACTTAAAAAAATAGGAAAAAAAAAATAGTTTTGGTACTAGACATTATTTTGAAATATAACTTTTTGAAATTTCTTTTTAATATTTTTTTTAAAGTACTATAGGTTTTTGAAAATATGCTTTAGTGATATTTTTTTATTTATACCATAGATAATATATTACTACTAATGATTTATACATATGTAGGCTAATTTACGTGTAATTAATATTTAAAACAAAATAAAAGGAGTTTTGGTACAGGTAATGTTTAAACGGATCATGTAATTTTTTTCCCCTACACCTTCGTGAAATTAATATTTAAAACAAAATAAAAGGAGTGTTGGGACAGGTAATGTTTAAACGGATCATATAAATTTTTGTTTTTTACCCTGCACCTTCGTGAAGGGTATATTAACTTTGGCATGGAGTTTGTAACCACTTGAAGGGGTAGTCCCCAGTATGGATATGTGTATACATTCTTACTCGGCGTAATTTAGCCATGTACTCAAAAACGAATAATGTAATCGACACCAAACTTTCACAAGTTATTTCTTTTCTGCCAACGACGACTGCTATTGTAATTTGGCCAATTTGGACAAAGGGTTCAGGTAGCTGCCAACAACTCAAAGAGGCTTTTTTGAATATTTTTAAAAGTAATAAATATACATTCAAAATTTATAAATGTTCATTCAAAATTTTGCAAAGATGTATCCAATTACACTTTACATATGTTCTGAAAATTTCAATGGAAAGACGGTACAGGTTCGGGTAGCTGCCACACAACTTTAAAAGCTAATGTTAAATATTTGTAAAATAATAAAGTCAAATTCATGAAATTTGGCAAAGTAAACGGCAAATCGTTTTATGTTGCTACCTATTGGTTAAAAAGGGCTTCAGGTCCGTTTTGTTCAGCTATGCATACAATATGAAAGTGTTAAGGTTTTTCGAAACTGAGTATAATTAAGCGACTGGAGAAAACTGAAGGTCTTTGCATAAATTGTTTGAAGCCTGTACACATGATGATTACTTACGTTACCACAGTGAAAGAGTAAAAAGGTTCGCTCCCCATCACGAGGTGCACCTGCTTTAGAAATACATGCACACCATGCATACTCCGCAGCAGGCACCGACAACGGCACCAGAGTTCTCGACCTTGGCACCGGTATTTGTACCCGCCAGTCTCAACGTCCACACTTGCCAGACAACAGGCCTTGCCAGCTTTGGCATGTGCCAGGGTTGTATCACCTATTACGGGCCGATATCAAAAGGCCAGGACGCTGGTTAATCCCGGTTTACTAAGGTTTTTTCGTAGCTGAGTCACTGGTTCAAGATTTAAATTTAAAGAAATAGAAAAAAAAACCCCTAATATACACGGTGTATCACAAACAAATATTGGCCAATCGTTGGCTAAAATTGAAGTCATAATTTATGGTGCAAATGGTGCACCACTTAACCAAGTGTCTGGTTAAGTGCTTTAAAAATTAACGAATTTGTTACCACAGTGAAACATCTTATGTGCAAGGGTTGGCACATTTAAAAGGGTTAACCATAGCTGACCCAGAATATTTCAGGATGGGAACAATAGATGTATACTCATCGGAGCTGATGTTTTTGGCCAAATAATATTAGATGAAGGAAACGCTCATTTGGCTATTTTGTAATGTGAGAAGATTGTCTTCTAAACTAGTGCTAAATATTATATTGTCGTCAAGATAAACAAAACAAGTTTTGCCAATTCCTTTAAGAAAGAATTGACAAAACGTTGAGATCACTATGGTCAATGACAATATTCTATTTGTCATTTCCAGATGCATCGACTTTTTTTTGATACAATCCCCAAGGAGGCTGAATACGATGGGTCACTATACCTTATTATTTCTTCTTCTTATAGATCTTATAGATTAGCGAGTGTCAAGAGTACTAATTATATGTTTTATTTCATGAGTAAAGGAGAGATCATCATCTTCACGATAAAATACACTGTAGAACTTTATTAAAACTTTCAAAAGCTTTTTTTTTTTATAAAAGGCTATTATAATACTGAGTTCCTTAAGAGAAACAGGAACCTTATATTCCTTTTGCCCATTTTTATTGAAATGATACAGTAGGTTGTTACCCGATTTTAATTTTGGGCTATTAACCTCATAATTAATTATGTCTCTTAATTTTTCGCCGCATCTTACTCTTTTTCATCTTTTCAATTAAATGTCAACAACTTTCGGCACATTGATAACTATCCTAAAACTACCTTTACAAATTTTGTCACGAACTCTTTTGCGGTTGAAAAATATCTTTCTAATTTGGGTTCTAGTACTTCTCCTGGACCAAATGGAGTTCCTGAGATTATTTTAAGCAGGTGCTGCTCTTCTCTGGCGCCCATCTTAACCTTAATTTTTAATAAGTCCTATTCTTCGAGTATTTCCCCGTCCGTGGGGAAGAAAGCTTTCATTAAGCCAATCCATAAGAAAACCAATAAAAATGACGTCTCAAACTATCGTCCTATAGCCAAACTGTCGGCAATTCCTAAGGTTTTTGAGTTGATGGTATATGACAATATTTATTTCCATTGTATGCCATTCATTAGTGCGCGTCAGCATGGATTCTTGAAAAAAAAATCCATGGTGACTAATCTAGTGGAGGCCACGACAGTTTTCTCAAATAATATGGAAAATGGGTATCAGACGGACGTGATTTACACAGACCTTAGCAAAGCCTTTGACATACTACCACATGAAATTATTATTTTAAAATTGAAACTCTTAGGATTTCCTGACAACTTCTTAGCATGGATAAAGTCATATCT